GCGGCCGCTTCGATGTAAGGCTGTGGGGAGCTGGGGGGGACGGGGCACGGGGTGCCCCATTCCGCTCCACGCAGGGCACCTGGGGCTGTTCCCCGTGGGATTCCCGTGGGTGCCCAGCGGGTGAGCGCTGGGATGGGGCGCTGGGATGGCTCGGGCCAGGAGCGTGCCCAGGGTGACATGGGAGAAGTTCCTGGGTGGGTTTCCTGAGGGGATGTGCTGGGGGTAGCCCTCCTTGCCCAGCACCCATGTGTTGGGAGGAGCTGTAACCTGCGGGCTCCTCCCCAGGTGTGGGAGAGCAGCTCTCTTCTTGTCCTGCTTAAACCCGTGAATGTTGCTGTGACACATTTAATACTAGCCACAGGCACGGGTAGAGGAACCTCTGCTGTTCCCAACACAATGCTGTTGCAGTGATGCGTGTTGTAGTGTCGTGACAACGGAGCATGTCGGTGCAAAAGTGTCAACTCACAAAAGGTCAAGTGGCAACTCTTGCTTTATCTCATGTTTTAGATGCTTTTGTGTGTTGGGAATTTTTTTGGCGCTACTTCAGAGGCGGAATGGGCAGAGTATCGCACAGGGGCCAGGAAAGGTAAGGAAGGCGTTCTCTGGATGCTCTGTGATTGCACTGTCTCGCGACCCACTTCGCTGTCTCATCGCCGCAGACTTTTGAATTTGGAAGTTGTCGTTAGGGGGTGTAATGTTAAAGCAGTTAAACTAGGGTAGGAAAACACCACGTGGGAGGGAAAGTTGGGTTTGTTTTAAGACAAAACTCATTTTGGTCACACTCTCAGACTCGGGAGCACGAAGATGCACGTGTCCAAGTGGCCCGCCCACGATTTGGGCATCAAGGCCTGCATTGGGTCATCTGGCCAGCGCTGTGTGCAGTCATAGGAGAGGCACATGCTGCTGACTGATGTCGGGGTCTTCTTGCTCCTTGCCTGCATATCTTACAGCTCCACTTCTGTTCCTGCTGTCACATCCGTACAGTTGAGGCCTGTAGGCTGCCGTGCGGGGTGGCCCTTGTTTTCTCAACCTGGGTAGCCTGAGAACCTGTACATAGATGTTTATGGCACTACAGTCAGAAGGTCGTGGGATCCCAGCATGCCTGACAGTGTGTAGCTCCTCTGCCACTCCTGGTGCTTCCCTCACAGAAGTTCCCGGTCGCTCCCTGTTGACACCCACTTTCACACTTCCACCGCAGACCTCTCTGCAGTGTGTAGCAGTGCTGTTCTTCCCTTCCCTCCATTCAGGCCCAAGTGGAGAGGGGAAAGCAGAGGTGCTGGTGGGCTGAGCATTGTTGTTCTTCAGCCATGGAGATCAGAAGGCTTTCCAACAGAGCAGGGTTTGCCCGTTCCTCCTTGGTCCCTGCAGCCCCCGTGCTGGAGATGTTTGCCCAGCCATGAATATGAGAAGTCCTGTGTGGACTTCTCTGCCTCCTTCCACACCTGTCTTGTGAGGGAGCATCTCCCTCACAAGCATTTGTAGTGTTCCTCTTTCTTCTTCGGTGCTACTCTGGCTCTCGCCCCTGGCATGAGGCAAGCCAGAAAGGAGCTGGGACTCTTGTTTTCCAGCTCCTCTCTGCTGCTGCGTCACTCCCTGCTTTTTCCCCGCTTGTTTGTGCATCCGTGAGAGCTGTCTGGGCAGAGACTGTCCCAGTTGCTGATTGTGGCTGAGGACGTATCCTGGCAAGTTGGGCTGCCTTGTGTTCCTGTTGCTGCGAGAGTAGGAGTTGTTACTGCTTTAAATTTTGCTGCACGAGGAAGCTGTCCTATGCACGCAGGGAGAAGAGTGGGTGTTAAGAGTGATCCGTTTTCACTCATTCGCACTTGAATGGTCATTTTTACCCTTTGGACTGTTGAAAAAATCTGTAGCTTATGACCTCACCCATGCACACATGGATTAAAAACAGGATTCGTGGCACTTCATGTCCCTTTGGTGTTAAGCCATTCATAAGGTTTTCAAACTCTGCTCTGCAATAGAAAGCAAGGTCCTGTATCTTCTGACCGTGGGAACTAGAACTTCAAGCAACAGGCTAACGACAGCTGTAGCAGAGCTACTGTAAGGCTGCTGCTCTCCCTTCTTGTACAGGAAAGTAATCCTGGGTTTTATTTGGTGAAAAACTTAGGACCTGCTGACCAGGTGAGCTCTTGACCAGCTTCCTGCCAGGAAGTCTACAGGAGGTGTCTCTGACGTCTGTCGTTCCTTTTTCTAACTTTTAAAAGTTTGAAAAGATTTGCCTTAGGCTGTTTGGAGGAATTAATTTTTACTGATCCCCTAGGCCTAGGTGACGTACCAGCTAGTACTTCCCACTGCCTTTTTTATTATATTCACCAGTTCTGGGTGAAATCATGCAGCATATTCTTCTACCAAGTGAATCAAAATGCTGATGAACTTGAGCCTTTTCCCTAAATCATCAGTGGTTTGCTGGTTTTTGGTAGCTCTACAAACTTAGATCAGCTTAAACTGAATCACCAGGTGTCCCTGTGCTCTGGTATTTACTTAGCCTTTCACTAGGGAAGATCTGTGGTTTTAGGGCTGCGCATCATTTCGGAGCTGATCTTCTTGCGTAGGCAGTGGAGCGAGTGGTAGTTACTGCAGAGGTTATTCTCTGCTGGTGCTGTAGGCATCTGTGGAAACAGCAGGCTTGGGGACTTGTTTTGAAGGAGGGTTTCTTGTTGTGTGCTTACTGCTCCTCAGCACGCTGCAGAGGAGTGGTGTTGGGGTCTGTAGGAATGGGTGGGACCCGCTGTGATTCCTCACTCAGGTGGACTGAACTTGTGTTAATGTACTTGGATTAAAGCAGACAGAGTGCATGTGGTTTTCTTCCTCAGCTCCAATCCCAACGTATGTGCTTGGCGCTAATGACCAGGAGACCACGAGCTATTTTCCAGACGTCAGTGGCTGCGAATTAGCTGAGAACATCACTTATTTAGGTAAGGCTGCAGGTGGTTTGGGATGAGGGATATGCATTTGCCCAGTGGTGCTTTCATTAGTGTTTTCTGATCCTCCCACTTCAAAACCCTCCCTTTCTCTGGAAAAGCTTAGGTGGTGTTTCTGACTCTGGGGTTCAGACTGGAGCTGGGCTCTGCTGATAAGCTGATGCCGTCTGCGATGTAAAATGCGAAAGAGAACTCTGCTTTTTTTGGTTTCCTTCTAACACTGAACTTGCTAACCAAAAGGAATAGTGGTTGAAAGAGCCTGTTCTCTGAGACTGCCTCATTCCGGTAGCATGGCCGTCTTTGTGTGGGAAGATTTCCTACCTGAAGTGTGACTGAGCTGTGCTTTGAGGCTGTACTGGAGTAGCCGAGGTAAAAAGTGTCGTCTGTAAGGGTGATGAAGCTGTAGCAAAGCTCAAAGGAAAATCTGGTTTCTTTCTAGAATACCACCTGACAAAACCCCCTAATAAGTAAAGGCACTTGCAATTGGCTTTTTTTTACTCAGCCTCCGTACTGAGCTTTTCATCCAGATTGATTTTTGGGAAGCAGGATGGCGGTGAGGAGAGAAGATGGGGGGTTGTGTGACAGCTGCAGTGGCAGCAAGGCAGGACTGCTGAATGTGGTCCCCTGCCTGTGATGCGACGAAGATTACTTGGCAGTGTTTACATCTCAAGTGTGTGCCTGTGTGTTAATGCAGGCCGTCGAGGTCTTTACAGTGGTACTTCTGGACTGCAGATTGCCTACCTGAGTGGTGCGGAGTCCCAGGATGAGCCGCCTCCCGCCTACAGCTTTAGCGCAAAGGATGTGGCAGAATTAAAAGCATCTTTGTTGTCAACCCCAAACTTCAAGGGTGTGGATATCTTGCTGACATCCCCCTGGCCCAGAGATGTGGGGACTTTTGCCAACAGTGCGGTAAGTGTTCTGTTTTCTGGTGGGATGTGTTTCCAAATGGATTTAACAAAGCATTGTCTTCCTGCCTGCTGTGGGCTGCTGGGCCATCTCCGAGTGCGTGAGAAAGCTGAGTGAAATGACATCAGTCAGTGGATGTTCTGGTCCTTCAGCGAAGAAAGAGAGGGGGATTTGTGAAACCCCAGGGTGGTTTATCTGTCCCTGCCTGAAAAGTCAGGGTCAGTAGCTTTCATCTGACCCCAGACGTTGCTCTGAATCCAGTTGATGGCCGTTGCTGTGGAACACTGCTGCTAGTTTCTAATGTGCAACGCTGTGCTCTAAACATCTTCAGTACCACTTGACATTAAGTCATTCTTTAGAAGTTTTGAAGGGGAAAGAAAGTGTTTCGGTGTTTTTCTTTAACTATCAGTCAGCTGTACAAAATGTACTAAATGATCTGGTTCTTCCTCTGTCTGGATTTGGAGGGTGGTGTTTCATTTGTGTCCCATTTCTGTTGTTAATGTTCCTCAGCAGAGGTGACTTTCCAGTCTTAAGTTCAGGTGATCTGAAACCTTCCTGGAGAGCAAGGCCATGGCATACCATGGAAAAGTACACTTTTTGCTTCCTCTTCCGACATCCAGAAAGATACATGATCCTCAGTCTAAAAGCATAAAGAACCCTCCCTCATCTCTCCTGGCGAAAAACCCATCCCCACTAGCCAAAGGCATTGGAGAGAGACAAGTTGTAGGATGTTCTGGCTTAAAAAGAAAACCTGGGTTTCAGAATTCACTGGGGATTCTGCATAGTAGTTCAGTGCATCATTCCACGCTTGGCTTCCCTCAGCATCAGTTTGCTGAGGATGTACTCACTTGGATTTACAGAGGAGTATATTAACAGTGATTATTGTCAAATGTGCATCTTGCTGGAGTGTGTACTTCATCACCTGAGGATGTCAGTACTAAGTCTTGGAGATTCCCTTGTGCACTGAGGCCCTGAAACCCTGTTCCTCAAATAAAGCCAGAAGTGTGAGGAATGAACAATTAGGTTTCTTGTGAGTTGTCACCTGGAGTTTCTCTTTCAGCCAAAGTGACGTGAGGAGCTAAATGGCATGGATGAGAACTGCATCCCTGGAGAAGCCCTTGGGTTTCCTTTTCCTAAGAAGCTTTGTAGCTCTGGCTTTTTTCAGTGGAGCTGGAAGTGGCCAGTCTGCAGTGCAGACACTGCTGGTCTCCCCTCTGCCGTGCCTGCTGCGAGGGCAGCAGGAGGAAAACTGCTCTCTTGAGGGTGGGTTAGTGCCTGTCTCACTGCTGCTGTAAGGGTTGTGACAGGCAGATGCTTGCCAGGTCAGCATCTTGTTCCCTGTGCTTTTCCCAAAGATAACGAGGTAACGGATGTCGGCTGTTCTGAACTTCTCTCTTCCCTTGCCTCTTTACTTCTCAGTCTGAGGCTGATGGGAAAAGACAGCACAAGAACCTTCACCCAAGGAAACCGTTTGAAGTCTGCTCTTTGGTTCTGTTGTGTTTTGCTCTGACTTCTCAGGGATGGGAGTGGGATAAAATTTTGCTTCCTAATGACACCTCAGAGCTTTCCTAGTCGCTTGGCTCATGCACTGAAGCTTTTGCACTCTGAGCACGTGGTCAAAACTTGTCTTAAATAGTTCTGAAAGGTGTTGGTGTTAGCCATGGTCATGCTCTGCTTCCCGGGCTCCACAAGACCGAGAGTAGGAGAACAGAACAGACGTGGGTTGATGAAACGAGTGCGTGCAATCCCTAAGTACACAGAATAGAATAAATGAGGAGGCTCTGGTTGCTGATAAGAGATCAAGCCCTTTTGACTTTTCCCCACTTCCAGGGAATGGCCACCGCTGTAGTCAGTCTCTACATTTCCAGCATGCAGTGCTGTATAACGCTGTTTCTTTGCACTGCAATCTGACAGGGTTTTTTAAATAAAACTTGTTTTGTATTTTGTAGGGAGAAATAGATACCAAGAAATGTGGCTCCAAGTTAGTGTCTGATTTAGCCGCAAGTCTCAAACCAAGGTACCACTTTGCTGCGCTGGAGAAGGCCTACTATGAAAGACTTCCTTACAGGTTTGTAAGACCTTGTGAAATCTCACTTATTTTCTCTAAGAGTTCAGTTTTTAAAGAACACCAGAGGACAACTTTCAAAGACTTTTATGACACCATCCAGCCCCAGCACAGGGTCAAGACTGTGTCTCAGATGCATCTTCCCATCATACCTGCTGCCTTGAAAACTGCCATTGCTGACAATACTTCTCCAAGTGCCTTGCTGTGATTCTGATGCCAAGTTAGTTGCCCTCAGTCACATTTAAAAAGTGTTCAGCCTAATTCAGGGGTGTATCTCTGAAAATGTATCGTGAGCACGCTCTTGTGCGGTGAAGACACTGGTGTCTTCAGTCATAACTTTGTAAAATGTGACTGGTGACATAAGGTATAAAACTATGGCTGTCAAGTTAATGCTGGTTAAGGTTGTTATCCTTTCGATGGGAAGCACTTTAAAGGTGTAGCTCTTTTCAGACTAGTGAACTGTCCTCTCATCTCTGTATCTGGACTGCAGTGAGGTGTCATTTTGATCTGTGCAGCTATCTGCTGTGAGATCTCGTGAATCTGTCCTCAAGCCTCCTTGGTTTTGGTCAAAGACTGTGTGGCTGATTTGCTGTCTGAGTAAATTTGTGGAGGACGCGTGATTTTCCCACTGTCCTTTTCTATACTGTATATGCCTGCAGAGTTATGTTTTGCTTCCTTACAGAAATCACACAGTGCTACAAGAGACCCCAAAGCACGTGACCAGGTTTATTGCACTTGCCAATGTTGGCAATACAAGCAAGAAAAAGGTACTGACACCCTTGAATCTTTCTCTTCTAAAGTACAGGTAATAGGGCAGCAAGCCCAGCTCTGGCTAGCTAGAGGACAGTGTGGATCACTTAAAAGCTTGACTGAAGTGGAGGGATGTGTCTCACTTGAGTAATAGATACCATTTGCTCATTATGTCAGAAGGGTAAGGGCCGCAAGACATGCTGTGTGGCACTGTTGTTCTCTACCTGGTCAAATGGCATGTAGTTGTGAAGGCAGCTGCAGAGGGACATGGTTGGAAAGCTGCCATTCCTTCCTCTTCCCCAGCTGCTCTGTGTATTTTCTGTTTGCATGGCCTGCTTTAAGAAGGAAGCTAAATTCAAAAGGAGCTTTTATAAATCACTGAAAATACCTAACTTTTAGAATGGGAAGGAGCTGTTTTGGTTTTTAACCTGTTTCTCTTCTTCCCCTATGAAAATCACAGAGCATTGGTATAGAAGGACAGGTTGCTAGTGATTAAGGCAGCATAGGAACCAGGTCTGGTAACAAAAAAGGGTCCAAGAGTTCTGGACAGAAAGAAGGCCTGGAAACAGATGATGTTCGAGGTCATTTCTTTTTCAAGTAGGATATGCTGCTGCTTTTCAAAAGATCATTCCTTAAAGTGAGAGGAGTGAGCCACTTGGAAGCACCCTGTAAACTCTTGGGTGGGAGACTGGCACAGGGAGTTTGTTCTTCATGTCCTGGCTTAGCTTAAACGCTGATTTGCTGAGTTATTGCAGTGGTGAGTGGTATGTCACTGTTTCAGGGTGGCTTAGTTCACAGCTGACCTTTTCAGAGTTGCAGTCATGGCAAAAGATGTCTGGTTTTGTTCTAGTATCTCTACGCTTTCAGCATTGTTCCAATGAGCTTACTGGACCCTGCGGAGCTGGCGAAACAGCCACAGGATGTCACCGAAAATCCGTACCGAAAATTACGGAAGGAGGCACAGAAGACCAAAGCACCACTGTGTGCAGAGGTACTGCTGCTGTCTCCCCCATGTGTGCACTCTGGTTAAACTCTATGTTCAGGGAGAAGTGTTTGGCTTTAGCCTTGGAATATATCTGTCCAAAACACTTCAGGGTTCTATGAAAACTCTTTGCAACAACCAAATTGTATCGATGCAATGCATGGGAGTTTGTTACAGTTTGCGCCTTCCTGAGCCAACCGTATACTGGGCTGTATCCAGAGCAGCATGGCCAGCAGGTCGAGGGAGGGGATTCTCCCCCTCTGCTCCGCTCGTGAGACCTCCCACTGCAGTTCTGTGTGCAGCTCCGGGGCCCTCAACATAGGAAAGATACTGACTGGTTGGAGCGAGTCCAGAGGACACCAAGGAGATGCTCCAGGGGCTGGAGCCCCTCTGCCATGGGGACAGGCTGGGAGAGTTGGGGTGTTCAGCCTGGAGAAGGGAAGGCTCCGGGGAAACCTTACTGTGGCCTTTCTGTTTTTAAAGGGGTCATATAAGAAAGATGGGGACAGACTTTTTAGTAGGGCCTGTTGCGACAGGACATGGGGTAATGGTTTTAGACTAAAAGAGGGTGGATTCAGACTAGATATAAGGAAGAAGTTTTTTAGAATGAGGGTGATGAAACACTGCTACAGGTTGCCCAGAGAGATGCTAGATGCCCCATCTCTGGAAGTGTTTAATGCCAGGCTGGACGGGGCTCTGAGCAACCTGATTTAGTTGAAGATGTCCCTGCTCGTTGCAGGGGGGTGTGGCTAGATGGCCTTTAAATGTCCCTTTCAACCGAAACCATTCCCTGATTCTTCCTGCAGGTCTGCACCAGCATGCTGTAGATAGATCTGCTTGCTTGTCAGGACTGTTCCCTACAGGCACCTCAGCACACATGGTCATGTTCTTTCTAAGCTTGTAGACTGCAGTTTAGTCCTTTGCAGCCAGCCTCCTGTTTTCCCCTTAGCCTGCTGGCTACTCAGGTGTCCCTTTTTTTGATGTTACACTTCCACTGTGTCCCTCAATGCTAGTGAGTTAGATGTTGTGTACAGTTGGTTTTTTTCTCACGTGTTCTATGTTACCAGCTCCATGCTCCTTTAAATATCACTTGCTTGCCACCCAGGGGCAGGAGGGTTCCTTCCTGGGGCCTGAACACTGAGCTGTTGGTGTCAGAAGATTTGAAATTGCCAACTTCCTAATTTGATCATCAGACAGGTGGATTGTCTTCATGGGTGTAGAGACTTAGGTTATTGCCCAGCGCAGAGCATGTTTTGCCCTCTAAGCACTGTGGGATTCTCTGCTAATGCGGACATGTGGATAGCTGTGCCTGTGTATCTTAATGTAACGTAGAGAAACCAAACTGGGAAATCATTGGTGGGGGACGGGAAACATTCAGCCTGAAGTTCAGCTTGACTTGGGCTTTGCTGGAAGTGTGCAAAGTAGGAGGTGGGAGGACTGCTCTCCAGCCTTTGTCCCTGGAGTATGCACACAGAGCAAAGGGCTGGCTGCTTCCAGCTGACACTGTGGGTGGGCACAAGGGTGACAGACACCTCCTGATCCCTTTAGCTGTGACAGCCTCCCTGCCACCATGAGAGATTCGCTGTTGTGTTCAACCCCTGGCAGTAAGGCTTTAAACAGACCAAACAGTCCAGCTTGAGGGAGGCAAAGACTCTTGTGCCTTTGAGCTTCAATATCCAATTGAAGACAGGCACAAAAGCTTGTGAAACCAGGAAAAATGCTTCTACTGCGCGTGCCAGCACGCCGTGGATTTTAAGCGGCAGTTGTGCTCCCATGCAGGAGTCAAGTTGAGCTGGCTTGAGCAGCCCTGCTCTTTGCTGTCCTTTTCCCAAGTGCTTTCCTCTGCAGCATTCTTGTCTCCCAACCTGACAACTTAGCGGCTTCACAAATGGCTTCAGCCTCTGTGTGAGTCTGTTGAGGGGTTAACATCTCTAAGAAATGAAGACATTCTTTTGGCGCTGGCTGTGAAGGCTGTGAAGAGATTTGAATAATGTACAAAACCAAGGAGTTGTGAATGTTCAGCATAAGGCTGAATAGGAGAACGTAGCAATTTGGGCAGCTCTCCCAGAATTTCTTCCCTGGACAAGGCTGGGTATCCAGGCAAGCAAAGACTGCTGCGCTACTGGGAGAGCTCAATCCATTCTGTTCCAGGGTATTGATCCTTTCACTGTTGATGCTTTTTGGAGGTGGCTGCACACCCCTCAAGGAAAAAGTAAATTCTTGTACAGGCTGTGACTCTCTGATGCAGAATAACGGGGCTTCAGTGTTAATTTTCTAAACAGGAAGAACCAGCTCGTCAGTTTTTCTTTGATTTGAACAAGCTTCAGGGAAAGAAACGTCCCTTGGATGGGAAAGAGAGAGGAAACTCCCAACCTAAAAAAGCCAAAACCACCTGTAAGTATGCAGATGCTTTTTTCCTGAGCTCTTCTCTCGAGGCATTGGACCATCTCACGCTTAATTTTTCTCAAGCTGTTGAGCTGTGTATGTCAGCTTGCCAGAGTGCTCTGTCACTACACCACATGCTGTGGGACTGCAGAGGAGTGAAAGGTCCCTTGTTTCCTACAAACCTGACAACCACGAGGTGAAATCAAAGTCAAAAGCCAGTTGGATGTGTGGCAGTTGTGGTTAGGCTGCTGCCGTTTACCCTCTAAACCACTGGCCTCCGGTAGGTAAGGCCTGTTGCCTTTGTTACAAGAGACCAAGTTGTTCGGTTTTCGTTCATTAGATTTCCAAATCCTTTGCACAGTCCTTGCACATAAGGGTTCTAGGGGGTAAATTACTTTCTACTAAGAGGAGCTCAGTGTCATTGCTCCGTAGATGCTGGCAGAGGCTGTCATGGCAGTCACTTTTGATGACAATATGTGGGTAGAGTCTCTTGTTTTCCCCCATCACTTCTCTAGGACATAGTGTGCCATTGTGTGTATCCATATGACTTCCAAACCCTTCTGGAGTTTGATGTTGTGAGAAGAGAGCCTTGTTTACACTGTTTGGCTCAGAAATAAACCCCAGAATTGGACATTTGGTTTCCTGCAGTTTGTGGGAGAGCCCAGTCATGTTTACTGTATTTGCAAAGCTGCTTGTCTGGTCTTATGTGGAACCTGCAGAGGATATGGATGCAGTGTCTGACCCTAAGGAGAAGCCTAGCTTCTCAATGCCATCAGCTTGTATTAAAGGTCAGCTCAGGTGTCACAATTAGGGTGTGAATCCAGGTGTTCTGAGTGTGGTGAATGGGCCAGAACTGACAAGTGGATGTGTGTGACAGCATCTGTCCTTGTCTGTGCTTATGCAGTAATTTTACTTCGTTTTGATTTGTTTGCTTAAATTTGGGGGTGCTTTTCAGCAAACCACTAAACTAACCACTAAATTCCTGGAAGTAGGGCTGTTCCATTGAGTTAGAGCACTTGATGAGAAAGGCAGTTCTCCTCTCTCCCTGGAACTTCCCAGAGGCATCAGTTCTCTGACCAGATTTGCTTCCAGGAGCTGTGTCCTTCAGTGCTTTATCAGCTGGGATGGGTGGCTGGAAGATAACAGCTCTTCCAAATCCTGTTCTGCTCCTTGTTCTGACAATAAAGCCTTGTGCTAACTCTTGCTTCTCTTTCCTCTCCCAATAAAGCACAACCCATGGGGCCGTGCTGGTTCTGCCTCGCCAGCCCAGAAGTTGAGAAGCACTTAGTTGTTAGTATTGGCACACATGTAAGTACCCGTAGCCTGTTCTCTGCTATATGACGGCAGGATAAAGCGTCAATCTCCAATTTTAAATCTTAAACAAAAAAAACCCAAACAAACTTTATTTGAAGCTGGCTCTTGGTTTTGTTTTCAGTTTCTGAGCATCCCCCCCACAAAAGACGTAAGTATATAGATAAAGCGCTCTAAAAAATGAAGCGTGGTCCCATTTTGCTCCCACAGCAGAGCCGGATTACAGTGCCAGCACACACTTTGTTGTGCCAGCCCTCATGGTTTACCTAGGTTACCACCTGGCACAACTTTCCAACAACTCATGCTTTGGTAGCAGGCTGCACTGTCTGGTGTTATGCCAGATCTCCCTGGGATGATTGGCTCCAGTTTTGTTATATATAGATAAAATAGAAGATAAGGTAGCTTTAAAGTAGACATCTTGAAGTACATCTTGGAGATTGGTTCAGTTGTTTGTATGTTCACTTTGCTTAAAGTTGCTGCTCCTGAATAGCATAATCCACTTTGCTATGGGTTTGTCCATGGGCTTATTTTAAAAGCTGTTAACAATTTTGGAGTGGATTTTCTTGGCATAGTGAGAAATTCCAGCCACAAGGGTGAAGTTCACTCTGCCTTGTCTGCAGGAAAGCAGCTTGCTCTGGCATTCAAAAAATTTCTTTTTATTATTATTTAGTTTTTTCCTTTAGCAGTCCCTCTCTTTCTTATTCCTCTAGTAATTAATAAATTGCTAATAAACAAGCCCTAATAAGTGGCAGAGAGAAGACTTCCCTGTTCCTAAGGCACAATTGCTAGGCTGGGGTGTACTCAAAATGCAATCAGAGAGTAAGTTCCACAGCATGGTAAGTGTGTGTTGCTTGCAGCGAGTAACGGGTGTGTATTGTTTCACTCTAGTGCTATCTTGCCCTGGCCAAAGGAGGCTTATTACCTGATCACGTCTTGATTTTGCCGATTGGGCACTATCAGTCAGTCGTGGACTTGTCTCCAGAGGTGATGGAAGAAATGACCAAGTACAAGTCTGCCCTGAAGGAATTTTTCAGAAGCAAGAAATTCTATTTGAAAGAAACTATAGGAGTCAGCATCTGCAGTTACAGGTATGGTTTTAGTGTCACCCTGGGAGAATATAAATTTGTGCTTAGCTGAAAATGAGTTGAAAGAGATTGCTCACCTTCAGATTTCCCCCTTCAGTCTGTGCCTTCCCAGAATATGGAGAGTTGTCTTACCCACAGATAGAGCCAGAGCAAAAATTAAACCAGTGTGCTGGTTCTGCCACAGTCCTTCCATTCCTCCTGTTACAGCAGCACAGCACTGGTTGTGTCTGAGTGGGTGAGGAAAGCTTTTCCTGCACGGAACTGATTAAGAAGCCCACAGGTTTTTCGGATAAGCTGCAAGACCTCGCACTGACTGTGGTTGGTTCACAGTGGCACACAAACTGTGGTGCTTGAATTTGAAAGTGAAGTAGGCTGAAAATCTAAAGGTATACACAGAACTCCGGTCGTTGCCCACCAGTACCAGCCTTTCGATTTGATGGGTTTTGTTGTCTTTTTTTTTTTTTGTCGTGGTTTTTTTGTCCTTGTGTGTCAGTCATTTGGGGGTTTATTGTGGTGGTTTCTGTATTTGGCAGATCTGTTAACTGTGTCAGAGCGGCCTTAAACTACCACAGAAATCAGAAAGGAGAAGGCTGTGCTGAGAACTTTTTCAAGCTTTTAGTTCTCAGCTTTTTGTTCAGCTCCTACAGAAAAAAAAGATCTCGTAAGTTTAAGCCTGTAGAGACAGGTCTTGTCTTACGTGATGATGCTGAGTGGTACTGAGGGGCATACCAGCTCCTGTGATGGACTGATTGCTTTCTGCAAGGGTTTGTTTTGTCCTGTCTTTTTATGGAAACGTCCTCCCTCTCCAGGTGATTCCTGTCCCGTTGGACCACTGTACTTGTGAAGACATTAAAGAGTCCTTCATCGCACAAGCGCAGGAACAACAGATTGAATTATTAGAGATCCCAGAGCACACGGACATCACACAAGTATGAGACAAGATTTCACCTGTTGCATGCTTTTCTGCTATCCTGTCTAGGCTGCTCTTTCCCCCGAGGTCACTTGGTGTGCTAGGGTTAAGCTGCTGGAGGCAGACCTTTGTAGACCTGGAGAAGAGGAGGCTCCGAGGAGACCTCATTGCAGCTTTCCAGTATCTGAAGGGGCTACAAGGGGGCTGGGAGAGGACTTTTTACAAGAGCCTGTAGTGACAGGACAAGGGGGGATGGGTACAAATTGAAAACAGGGAGGTTTAGATTAGATATCAGGAAGAAATTCTTCACAGAGAGGGTGGTGAGGCACTGGGACAGGTTGCCCAGAGATGTTGTGGATGCCCCATCCCTGGGAGTGTCCAAGGCCAGGCTGGATGAGGCTTGGAGCAACCTGGTCTAGTGGAAGGTGTCCCTGCCCATGGCAGGGGGGTTGGAACTAGATGATCTTTAAGGTCCCTTCCAACCCAAACCATTCTGTGATTCTATGACTTGATTTGAGGTGTACTGGATGGACTCTGTGCTGGGGTGAAGTTCCTGGGAACAACAGCTGCGTTGCTGATCTGAAAATCTATGTGCGAGGCTTTCTGAATTCATGCCTTCTGATACCAAACACCAACCCTGTCTCAGTGCTGCTGCGTGTTAGGTAGTTTTAGATTCCCTTGGAGAAGAATTGGAAAGAAATCTGTTGTAGCAGAAGTGAGTCCTTAGTGACACAGGGTGGTCTTTTCCTTTGCACTCAGTGGTCACAAGGAGACCTGATCTGCAGCAAGAGCCAGAAACGGCATGTGTGCACGCTTGTCTGGGTTTCCGAGCGATTGCAGGCATTGATACCCACATGGGCAAGCTTAGAGGCTGGTTCCTCAGCTGAGAAATGTGAATGTCGTCTTTTCACACGCGTTTCTGCCTCTAAAAACGTGCTGTGTTAGTACGGGATGACCTGGCTCGGGTCAAGAATGATCAGAACTGCCTGGTTCGCTCAGCCTATGACGCTGTCGTGGGGACTGCAGAACTGAAGCACAAGGAAATGTATAGTAGAGCCCTCTGTGCATCCTCAGCTGATGATCCCAGCAGAGGGCGATCCGTGGTCCTTGGAAGTTACGGTTTGGCACCAGCCACTGATG